AGATCATCGAGTGCAATCCTGATCTCATCGTTGCTAACACCACCGCCGATGATACTAGCATCATCCGTAACTGTTTGGAGGAAGCGACGAAAAACAATGGTTCGGTTGCAATTACGTTTGGCCAGGAGTCCACATGCTCAAACCTCGAGGTTGCCAACGCCCTGAACTCCTTCCTGGAGTCAGAGCCAGGCTCAAGTGATGCGCTCAACAATTCCGCTGAGTTACCTTCGCGGTTTTTCGACTTCTTACGCGATCTTGGACACCAGGTTCGCCTGGGCCGCCTTGCCGCCACCGCCTTTCCAGCTGGAGCTGCAGCGGAAATGGCAGGATCGACCCTTGATGCAGTTAACGACGACGAAGATGTGGCTGTTACCGCTCAGGAAGACCTCGGGGATGAAGAGCAAGAAATCCTTGAGAAGCTGCCGCTCCCAGGAGAGCCGAAATTAGAAGGAGAACGAAGGAAGTCTTGGCTCAAGATTCCGCTCCGAGTGAGGATCGCCATTCGGCGACTCCACAGGCAGTTCGGTCATGTTCCGAATCGCGCGTTGATCCAACTTATGAAGCTTTCCAGGATGTCGTCCGAATATATTGAGGCAGCCAAACTTTACCGTTGTGAGTCTTGTGAGCATCACAAACCGTTACCGCAGACACACAAGGTAGCGCTTCCCAAGAAGTTCTGTTTCAATTACGAGATCGGGATCGATGTTCTGGAGGTGAAGGACAACAACGGCGAAAGGTACAGCTTCCCGAATATCGTCTGCCAGGGAACTACGTTCCAGCGGGTCATATTCGTTCGACTAGGTGGTGGAATGCCGTCTTCGCGGACATGCCTCACAGCCCTCCAGCGGCACTGGTGTGCTTGGGCAGGAAAGCCTACAAGGATCGTGTTGGATCGAGGGTTACATAGCAGAGGTGTCTTCTTACAGTGGGTTAAGAGTCAAGGGATCGATCTCCGCGACGCAGGAGTCGAATCCCCGGAGCAGATCGGACGCACCGAAAGACACGGCGGACTATGGAAAAACGTGTTTAAGAAAGTGGTTCACGACAAGAACGTTATTGGCCTCGACGAAGTTATGACGACAGCCGTAGAGGTCGACAGCACCAAGAACGAGATGTCCCGAGTTGGCGGTTTTTCGCCGTCTCAGTGGGCGCTCGGTCGGCTGCCCCGTGTGCCGGGTAGTCAGTTCGACGACGAAGAAGCTTACGACCTGGGTGTATTGGCTAACGTGGCTGAAGATGGGTCTGATGAGTTCTCACGTCAATCTGCAATCCGCGCCACTGCCAGGAAAGCATTCGCCGAGCACGACGTTGGTAGCAGGACCGCGCGTGCTATGCTTCGTAAAGCAGCCCCTCTGGCGGGCGAGTACCAGGTCGGAGATGTGGTGTGCTTTCGCAAAAGGCCCACCGACGGAGAAGTTACTGCAAAATGGAGCACTGGATCGAGGATCGTAGGGTTCGACGGCAAGAACGCATGGGTCATCACCGAGGGGGTTCCGGTGTGTGTTGCGGTTGACAGGCTCAGACCGTGCACAGCGGCTGAAGCTCTGGCATATCAATATCTTTCCCGGCACCAGGATGGAGGTATGGAACGATACGCTCCTCCTGAAGGTCAGCAGCAGTCGTTTGTCGACGAACGAAGAGAGTTACCTGGTGCAGGCCAGCCTGGAGCACCTCAAGAGGACGTACTCCCAGTCATCCATGAGGGGCCGGAATTAGAGATGCCAGAGCCGATGGAAGAGTCTCAACCTGTAGCACCAGGTGGGAACATGAGTGACGGAGGCAAGGGAGAAGCTGAAGATTCCCCTGCCGAACAACCTGAGCCTAGACCGTCGCGCACCCCGTTGCAGAGATCTTTGCTAGATGATGTGCCGCACGACCTACGTGGTCGCGGCGAAGTGATGCGAAGGAGATTGGACACAGGAGGATCATCCTCAGAAAGGAGATCCGCTTCAGTGTCAGAACCAGCACCCGAGCCAGCGAACCCGCTGCTCGAGGCATGGCAGAGAACGGGGGCTACAGGATCAGGCGTAGATCTACTCCAGAGGAGGACTGCGTCCGTGGCAGTCAAATCACACGAGTCACTTGTTGGTTTCTTCAATGAGCGAGCCATCAGTAAGCCTCAATCTCGAAAGAAGCTGAAGAGCGTTAAGAACCTTACATTCCATAAGGAATCGGAGGAAGTTAAGAGCGGACTGCGTCTCGCAAGACAAGACTAGTGGGGAAAATGGCGAAGGTTCAATGCTGCCGTAACCATTGATTCCTCAGAACTGCAGAAGCTCCTCGACGAGGGATATCGCATGGTTCCCACGCAATGGATTGAGGTAGATAAAAACGAACATGTACGCAGACCGGGTGGACCACCGGTTGCGCCACAATACAAAAGCAGACTTGTGGTACGAGGAGACCTCGAGGAATCTCTCGGCATCCGCACGGACTCACCAACATGTGAGCTAGAAGGCTTAAGGCTGATAATATCGTGGCCCGCATGCACGAAGAAGGCATTGAAATGCGCTGATATCACTTCAGCCTATTTTCAGGGTCAAGAACTCGACCGTCTCATGCTATTAAAACCACCTTCCGACGGGCTCGAAGGAGTACCGGATGGTGGGGCGCTTATAGTTCGCATGCCTGTTTATGGAACGCGTGACGCTGGGAGAGGTTTATGGAAGAAGATCCGACAACGTTTTAAAGCTCACGGATTAAGAGAGAACCGTATCATGCCAGCCCTTTTCAGTTTATCTAATGATAATGACCAGATTACGTGTATGATAGGCACACATATGGACGACATACTATGGGCCGCAGACGACGAGAGCCAGAGGATTATTGACTCCGTGCTGGCAGAGTTCGACATCAGAGAGGTCAAGTCAGGAGATTTCCGCTACTGCGGGTTAGACATTGCTCAAGATCAAGACTATACCGTCCACGTCATGGCCAAGGACAACACCGAAAATATAGAAGCTGTATCCTATCCCAGGGACAGCCCCCTCACCAGGCGCTGTAACGAAGGAGAGACATCCCAACTTATGTCAGTTGTAGGTGCCTTGTCTTGGGTTTGTCGGCAATGCAAGCCCGAGCTCCTCTACCGCGTGAGTCGACTGCAAACGGCAGTGACCCATGCGAAGGTATTGCACCTTAAGGAGGCCAACCGCGTCTTGGAAGAAGCAGTACAGACGTCGGACAGCGGACTTGTGTTTAAAGGTGGTGCCGTGCTGTGGGACAAGGACATGATCGTTCTTACCGTTACGGATGCCAGCTGGGCTGGAGAAGACGATGTTCTCAGAGGCAACTTGGAGCCGCTCAGATCCCAGAGGGCCAGGTTCAACGGACTTGCAGGGCCGGGATTTGTCGAGGGGAACAGTGATTACGTCCTCCCTATACGTTTATCGAGCAAGGTTATCAGGCGTGTGTGCAAATCTACTTACAAGCAGAGACGTTGGCTTGTCTCTGGGGTGTAGAATCAGGTGTGCGTATACGTGCTGCCATCGCTGATGCGCGAGGTATGCTTGGGGTAGCTAATAAACTCCCTTCAGACTGGGAAGAGATTTCAGCCATGACGATGAGACATCTTTGGGTGACAGATTGTAAGAGTTTGGAAGAGCACCGAACAGCGCCTACTATTGGAAAGACGGAGGATAAGCGCTTGAGTATTGACCTGAGCAGTCTCCGTCAGGACATTTGGACACGAGGTGATGAAGAGGTAGAAATCCTGCACCCGAAGTTGCTCTGCGATAAGATCCGTTGGATCGATACGAGTGTCATGGCCGTAGATTGCCTCACTAAAGCTATGCCAAATCATTTCCTTGTTAACATATTGACCACTGGTACTTACGATATTACCCCGGACCCGGAGTCAACGATCAAGAAAGCGAAGAAACAGCTGGCTAGAGCCAGGGTGAACACTATCCCGACGGGGAAGTGATGTTACTGTTGCCACCCTGGCCGCCTTACGCTGCGTCTCGTTTGGAGACGCCCTTTTACTAGCCCCTGAGAGTGGCTGCCAACCGGCTAGCTCGTGACAAAGTTTCACTGGTGTGATATATTGTGTGTGTATGACACGCTCGTACGCCACTCGCCGCCGCTTGGCTCTTAGGGGCCCCTTTTGCCTTGGCTTGAACACGTATCATCAATCACAGATCTTCATACATACATACATATATACATACATACGTATATACATACATACATACATACACACATACATACATACACACAACCAGACAGACAGACAGACAGACATACAGACAGACATACACACATCCATACACACATACATACACACATACATACGTACATACATACATCCATACAGGCCTACATGCATACATACATACATACATGCATACATACTTACCGACATACATACATACATACATGCATACATATACATATACATATACATATACATATACATATACATATACATATACATATACATATACATATACATATACATATACATATACATATGCATATGCATAGACATATACATATACACATACACATACACATACACATACACATACACATACACATACACATACACATACACATACACATACACACACATACACATACACATACACATACACATACACATACACATACACATACATATGCATATGCATATGCATATACATACATACATATATACATACATACATACATGCATGCATACATACATACATACACACAGACATACATACATACATACATACATACATATTTACTTACTTATTTACTGACTTACTTACTTGCTTACATCCATACATACAGACATACATACATACATGTCCACCGCCCGCGTGGATCCCAGGACGTTGGTTTCACAGGCAGTAGATATGGATTGATCCCCGCTTCGCATATCATGTGCCCCCGGGGAGCCACCCACCCGCCGCGGACAAAGGCACACCATTCACGTGGCGTCTGCCCCATCTGCTGGGGTGGGGGTCCGTGCCATTCGTGGCGGCACGTGCGGCTGCCAGCCGGCCCGTGGCCAGGTGTTCGGGCTCTTTTCGGCGTGGGTCGCGGTTGTCGGAGACGAGCCGCGGGCGCTGTGCATGACAGACCTGAGCTTGCTCCCCACAGACGCCAGGGACATCGCGGACACATTCGCGTCCTGCGCTGCCCAGATCCAGGAGTGCGAGATGACAAGGCGGCAGCAGGGGGCTGCAGTTGTCCTCTGATGTGGCCAGCCAGGGATGGGCGGGGAGAGGGGGTGGAGGAGCAGGAGAAGGTTTGAGGAGGAGGGGGGAGAGAGAGAAGTATAATAAGTGGAGGAGGGATCGATCGAGTGGCAGGGGGCAGGATGGGGAGAAGGAGGGGAAGAAGATGGGGCATGAGCAGGAGGAACATCAGAGAGAGGGGGGGGGGACGAACGGTCTGACACAGTCAATGGGTGCCCAGCTGGAGTGGCCTTCACCAGTGCGGGTTTCTTGTTGTTGTGCTGCTGTCGTCGTCCTCGCCCGCGACCCGCCCGCGACCCACCCGCGACCCACCCGCGACGCACCCGCGACCCACCCGCAACGCACCCGCGACCCACCCGCGTTGCCATGACGAACAGGCAGCGCCTTCCGCGGGCTCGTGGCGCGAGGTCTGCAAACACGGCGAGATGTCCGGCCGAGCCTCGCAGACTGCCCGCCGAACTTCTTTTGCCTCTTACGGTGGAGGCCCTTGCCAAGAAACACCTTGCTTGCTTCCAGGGTGCCCTGGGCTTCTTGGGTTTCGATGGTTTTGCGATGGAAGGCGCTCCCACGCCAAAAATCGACGGGCGTCCGGGGGTTTCAGGGTTGGGTTTTTTGTGGAAGGTTTCTTGTGGGCTGGCCTCCACTGTTTCCGCACATGTGGGGACCATGGTGTTACAACCCATCGTGCGCCTGGAAGAAGCACCAGGGCAGAAGCAAAAACGTTCCGGCGGGGGGCGTTCTGAAGCCAGTGGCTCGGTAGAGAATCACGGGAGCCTCGTTCGCCGTAGCAGATTTGTTTGTAATGTGCACTCATGTTTTTCTGGCGTTTGGTAATCGACGGGATGGCGCCGACTTAGCGTCGATTAGCGTCGATCTAGCGTCGATAAACACCGATGAAGCGTCGACTAGCGTCGTTTTAGCGTCGACCAGCGTCGACTCGCAAGAGCCAACAAGACGATATAGGAGGCTCACATGAGTTGCCACCGAAAGCAGCGAGGCAGCAGATGGAGCAGTGCCGAGGGCTCTCTGAACAGTGAGTTCAAGATTTTGACCGTGAGTTAACTTCAACAGCGTAGTGTCAACCGCCTAGTGTCAACAGCGTAGTGTCTGCTGGCACTGCACTCTTGACACTACGCTGCTGGTACTGCACTCTTGACACTACGCTGCTGGCGCTGCACTCTTGGCACTACGCGAAAACACTACGCAAAAACACTACGCATATGATTTCACCGTTGGGGGGAACTCTCAGAACTGCTGAACATCGCCGAAATCACCCTGCGTTGTTGGTCATCGCGGTGCTCTCATGTGACCGTGCGTTGTCGACGCTGCGCTGATGACACTACGCTGTTGGCACTGCGCTGCTGACACTGCGCTGTTGACACTGCGCTGCTGCCCGCCGCGCCCAGAAGGGCCAAGGACGAGTTTGGTGAACATCGCCGAACTCACGCTGCGGTGTTGGTCATCGCGGACCGTGCGCTGTTGCCACTGCGTTGTTGACACTACGTTGTTGACACTGCGCTGCTGACACTGCGCTGCTGCCCGTCGCGCCCAGAAATGCCCAGAACGAGCCTGGTGAACACTACGAAGGAAACACTACGCACGAAACGCTACGCAGGAAACGCTACGGAGGAACCACTACGCAGAACACACTACGCAGGAAACACTACGCAATAAGCACGACGCAGAAAACACTATTCAGAAAACATCGCGCAGGAAGCACTACGTAAAAGAACACTGCGTAAAAAGAACACTGCGTACACAAAACACCGGCTTACAAACCAAAACATTGCGCACGACAAAATTAGCCTGACGAAGGACCCAACCATGTGCAGTTGTGAATACCGCAATTGTGAATACCATCTTCACTCGCGCTCCCTATGGGGCCGCGAACCGTGTGAGGGGCGTGCCGAAATTCGTCACGGAGTACACAATACGAACAAAGACGGTCGGTCTGAGTGCGAGAGGCTAAGAACGGGTGAGCCTGAGCGCGAGTGAGTCTGATTGTGAATGAATCTGCGTGCGAATCAGTCTACGTACATAAATGTGGACGCTCCTCCCGAGGATCGCGCCCGCTTCCTCCCCTTTCTTCTCTGCATCTTTGCCTGTGCGCGCCGATGTCCATGGCTGCTGGCGCGGCGCCGCACGGAATCCCCGCGACGCGCGCTGGTCGCCCCGAAGGGGTCCCGGCGACGCGCGCAGGTCGCCCGCTGCGCGCAGCGGGGAGAGCGAGCAGGCTGGCTGATAGCGGGCAAGCCTGTGGCCGCTGGGCAGAGAGACGACGGGGGCGAGCGAGGCTCTGGTCAGAGCGCAGCGCGAAATTCCCGGGACGCGCGCTGGTCGCCCCGAGAGGGTCCCAGCGACGCGCGCAGGTTGCCCGCGGCGCGAAGCCAAACAGTCAGACCGTCGAGAGACGGCGAGGCTCGGGCGGGCCGCTCCTCAGGTCAAGCCTCGCGGATAAACTCGGTGAAGCCCAGCTCCCTGGCGAGGGCCGTCGCCTCCCTTCTGCACCGCCTCGTGCGCGCAGCAAACTGCTCCAGCTGCTTCCGCAAGCCCTCCGGCGGCCCTGCCAGGAAGAACTCGATGCGCGGCGCCCGCATGAGCAGGAGGTCCTCGTGGCGCGTGGCGCGCGAGAGCAGGACGTAGAGCTCCAGCCACCAGTCGCCGTCCTCCTTCTTGCCGTTCCCCACCTCGTGGCGGCCGCAGTCCAGGATCACGCCTGGGCGATGTCGGCCGAGGGAGCAGCGCGCCGGAAAGCCGAAGGCCCAGGGCGAGAGTCCACGAGACCGAGAGAAGGTCTGGCTGCGGACCGCTCGGCCCGAAAGGTTCGGCCGTAGACTGCCCGGCGGCGCCGTTCCCCCGCCCCGTCGCCTTCCCGCATGGTGCGCCCCTGGCACGCCACCGTGGTGATGATCCTGCCGTGCGAAAACGGGAAGCCCGTCCGGGTGACCTTGGAGGTGCGGAAGGTGAACGGCTCCGACGTACGGGGCTCGATGAACACCAGCGGGCCCGTGAGGTCCCCCGTGAGGCTGTCGTCGTGGCGCCTCAGGTCGTCCACGAAGGGCGCGCTCGCGTACTTCTCCATGCGCACCCAGAACCCCAGCGGCAAGTGCTTCAGATAGACCCTCTTCTCCCCGTCTCTCTCGGCATGGTCGACTGCGTCACGATCTCGAGGGTCCACGACGATGTGCACGATCTGGCCCTCGGCGTCCTTGACGAGGCCGTTCTTGAGGTCGAGCGCCTCCAGGAGGCGGATCCGCATGCCGACATGCACCGGGAGCAGTCCGTGCATGCCACCGGTATTCTTCGGGTTGGCACAGTTCATCATCTTGGCGGCGTCCTTGACATTCATCGTCGGGGCAGACCTGTCGGCGGCCTGCACGAGGAAGAGGGGCTTCTTCAGGACGTCCGCGTCCCGCTGGGAACGCATGTTCATCCACCGCGCCACAGTGTCCCAGTAAGACCCAATCATGTGGCCGTTCTGGAACCTTTCCTCCCGGAGCCGGCGATCATCGGGTTTCAACTGCATGGCGTTCCACGTGGCACGGATGGCCGGCGGGACCTGCTTCCCCGGCTTGCGCAAGAACGCCATGAGATCACGAAGCTTCGGGTCTTTGAAGCGGTTGGACGCCTGGAGCTCGAAGCACAGCGGCGTGTTGCAGAAGAGCTTCATCACGGCCTGGTACTCTGGAGCGAGGTTGATGCCCGCCTTCGCCAGTTCCTCGAAGCTGGAGATGAGGGACACTTTGCCTCCCGTCGGCTTCAGCTGCAAGAAGTCTCCCAGGTGGATCACGATCGGCATCCGGCCGAAGGCTCCGCCGACCTGGTCGTACTCCCGCTCCTCCGCGCCCCACTCGGCCTTGCGTCCCAGGTAGGACCGGAAGGCGAGCATGTTGTACAAGTTGGGCGAGATCATGCTCACCTCCTCCAGGATCAAGCACCTGACCGCCTCCCACGTGTCCTGTAGCGCTTTCAGCTTGCCCCCCGCGGGTATGTCCTTGTTCCTGAAGGACTGCACTCCAATGACTCCCGCTCGGTGGCAACTGACGGCCTTATGAGCGTCCGTGGAGATGTTCGCGGCCTGCGACCACTTCGCGCAGACTATCTGCGTGGACTTCGCCTTGCCCGGTTCCACAGGGAACAGTGCGTCCATGGCCGGCAGCACGATCTCCTGCACCATGGCGGTCTTCCCGCTGCCGCCCTGGCCGAGGAGCAGGAACTGGAACGTCTTCCGCTTGGCGTGCTTGGCCATGCTGCCGTCCTCGATCTTCTGCTCCTCGTCCCACACCACGTTGCAGGCGTTCGCGAACGCCGTGACGAACAGGGCCTGGTCTGGCTTCAGAGGGCGGGGCTCCTGCCGCCCCGTTCTCGGGTTGACCACGCCGTCCTCGAACTTTGTAACGAGGAGCTTGACGAAGTCGCTGGGCCGCTGCATCTCCTCCGAAGGCTCCCACCGTGCCTGCGCCGCCTCGGCTGGCATCGCGCCAGCGGCCGCTGCGCCGACGTCGTCCGGCGCGGGTGCGTCGGCCACGGGCACGTCCGCATCCATCGTGCCTCCCTTGGCGAACCTTTTCCGCTGGGTCTCCACCAAGCTCTTCAGCTCGTCTGCGTCGAGGTCGCGCAGGGCCCTGAACGGAGCGAGGACGTTGTCCTTCAGGGCGCGGGCAGCGCGCCGCGATGCGTCGGCGTCAGTCGGCCCGGGCAGCGCGCCGTTCTCCATCATCGTAGCGGCCTTCTTGAGTTCCTTCACGAAGGCCTGCGTGCGCTCGGCGGTGTCGAAGCGCAAGATCTGCCCTAGCGTCTCGGGGTCGAAGTGATGCTCCAGTGCCGTGTTGGCGCCCAGCTTCGCGAGGCCTTCCTGAGCACGGATGCCCTGGGCCTCCACCTGCGCGGCGCCCGCACCCGAGTCCTCGGCGCCCTCCTGGAACACGGGGGCCTCGGCGACCTGCACGTCGTCCTTCTGCGGCCTCTTCGGCTTCGAAGCCCTCGCCTTGGAGATGCCGTCGAAGTTGGCCGCGGTCTTCGTGCTCTCCAGGGCCAGGTACTCCTGCACCGTCAGCATACTGTCCAGCCAGTTGCCCATTTCCGTGCACTGGGCGCACTGACAAGGAGGCTGCACGTCCTCGCCGCGGTCGCTGTGCTTCTCGCGCAGCGCGGCCTCGACCTCCTGCGTGTTCCAGATGCTGGGAGTTGCCCACGACCCCACGTCATTCTTGAGGCACTTCGCCCGCGCCGTCTTCGCCAGCTGCTCCTGGGTGGTGGCGAACGACTCCCACCCGCGCTGGAACGGGCCCGAGACGCCCTCCCCCGCCGGCTGCGCCGGCCACTCCGGCTCGCCCTCCGGCGCCGCGCACAGGTGCTCGTACGCGCGGAGGTAGCGCAGCTCCTTCGTGTCGTTGGGCCCGTCGGCGTCCGGCAGGTGCACCGGTCGCAGCAGCACAGACTTCATGAGGTAGTGCGTCTCCACGTTCGACTCCGCGCTCACGAACTGGAAGCCGTCCGGCTTCGGGATGCGCGGCTCGGCGGCCAGCCTCTGCGTCCAGTTCCGCGCCGCCGAGTAGGACGAGTCGAAGGCGATGTCCACGTGCAGGGTGCGCCCCCCGCTGCCCTCGGGCTCCAGCTCCCCGGCCGGAAGGGCGTGCAACGGCAGTTCCACGCGGTACACCCAGATGCTGTAGACGTACAAGCTCATGTCTCGGACAATAGGGTGATCTCCGCGATGCATCCAGTCGTCGTGCTGGCTCAACACGGCGCCCCTGAACTTGCCCTGCGCGAGGCCCTCGACGGTCGGCCCCGGTGCATCGGGCTGCTCTTCTTCCTCGCCTTCCCGCATCTTGTTCAAAGCCTTAGTCACGTCGCGCAGCGAGCCGCCGCTGGCGTTCGCAATCTGGAACGCTTGGTGCGCGTACTCGATCGTGTCGAACTCCTCGCCGTCGGGGCTGACGTACACTGTCTCGCCCTCGCGCTGCACCTCGCTCCACCCCGGCATCGCGACCTGCTGTCCAGTGCCGGGTACCGCGTACGTGATCGAGGCGGCGGGTGGGCTTTCCGCGGTGTCGGCGTGGCCGTGCCGCCTGCGCCAGGACTCCGCGGCGAGGTAGATGGACTTCCGCATGGACACCTTCCAGCAGCGGTGCGTCATGAAGGAGAGGTGCCCGAAGAGCATGGGGAAGACCATCTCGCAGCCGCTCTTCCAGGAGGCCCTGCGGAAGCAGGTCTCGAAGCGGGACAACACCTGCAGCGTGCGCTTGAAATCCTCCTTGCGCTTCGCTGCAGCGGTCAACTGGGGCTCGTCGCTGGCGTCGCCCGCGCCCTGCACCTCCCTGTCGTTCCACTGGCTCTTGAGGCGGCGCACGCCGTCGAGGAGCTTGCAGAGCACGTCGTCCATGCTGGGGTTCACCTTCGTGGTGTACGAATTCACGTAATAGCTCGTGTTGTGAGCATCCACGAAGGTGGCGATCGCGTGCCGCTCCAGGTCGCGTTGGAGATCGGCCCGCGCAGCGTCGTCACCGTCCACGATCGGGCTGACGCAGTTCGCGAGCTCTCTGTAGATCTTGTGCCAGTCGGTGACTACGACGAGCTCCCACTTCTCCTCGGACGTGGTGTTCAGGTGCTGGAACCACCCCCAATCCTCTCGGGCGCCCACTGAGAAGTTGGCATATCGCTGAGGGTACAGGCCATGGTTATAGCTATTGCGGTCCCCCTCGTTCGCTGGAGGTTCCAGCTCTAACGGATCCATCCACAGGCGCGGGGGCAGTACCCGTCTCATGTCCTGCACGTCCACGTTGCACCGCGCCGAGACGACCGCCGCGTACTTGGTGGAGGTCTCCCCAGGGTGGAGCTGGAAGGTAATGATGCGCCCGGCCATGCCGTACTCCGTCTCCAGGAATATGCCGATGCAGCCACGCAGCGCCTTCCCGCGCGTCCGGAGCCGGCACTCTTGGGAGTCCCCATCCTCGGGCCATGTGCACAATGTGACCAGGTTGTAGAAGTTGTGGCGGCAGATCTGCGAGCCGCGCGCTTTGTCCGAATGGTATTTGTAGCAGGAGGGGCTGCAGACGTGGATGCCGCAACCGATGACGAGCTGGCGCACGTCGTGGCACATCTCGCGAATCCACTCGTCGCTCGGGAGGGACCCTGCCAGGGTGCATCCGCCGCGGTACCTCGGGAAAATGCCGGAGGCGCTGCTGGAGAGCGGCTGCGCCCAGTAATTCTTGGTCTCCGCGGCCCGCTGCTCTGTCCACGTCGCCGCGTCTCCCACGATCCCGCCATTGGTGTCGCGCAGCGGCAGATCGGCGCGAATGGCCTCGTGGTAGTCGTCTGACGAGGGATCGTAGTAATACAGATCCTCTCTTTTTTCGCCTTCCTTACCGAGCTGCTCTGGCGTCGCTGTCTCCTTGCCGCCGTCGGCCCTGCAATGCCGCTTCTCGTTGGGCCCGAACGGGAGCGGCGGCACCTCGGCTCCGCACTTGTTCTCGCCTCCCTGCAGATGCAGGGGCAGCAGTTCCACAGCGCTCTGCTGAGTGGCGACGACGGCCTGCACCACTTGCCGCATCCACAGGTTCAAGCGCTCCTGGAAGCGCGCCTGGTCGCGCTGCAGCATGTCGAGGAGCACGCGCAGCTGACCCTGCAGCAGCCAGATGAGGATGTGCGGGTGCAGCGAGCCGCGGCCCTGGGCCTCCACAGGGCCGAAGGCGGCCGCGAGGGGGCCGAACACAGTGGGGACGCCCATGAGGTCGGCCGCCACGCCGTCGGAGACCCAGTGCTCCGAAATCTGTCGAACTTCTCCTCTCCGCCACCCGACGGTCTCCCGGCGCAGGCCGAGCACGTGGACGAAAAACAGCCTCATCATCAGCTCGAATACCACGGCCTGGCCCACGGGATCCGCGGCGAGGCGCTGCGACATCTCCCTCAACGTGACCTGCTCCGCCTCGGACAGGTCGGCGTTGAAGTTGTACTCCTCCCCCTGCACGATGAGGATCAGGGGCTGCTTGGTGTCTGCCAGATTCGGGGTGACGAACAGGACGGGCGGGCCAAAGCGCAGGGTATACGCCTCGCCCTCTCCGCGCAGCTCGCGCCTGTGTCCGTCGGACCCGACTTGACTGGCAGTGGCCTGGCCCAGGGTGGCGAAGGCCTGGCGCACCTTGTTGGGGGTGTCCTTGTCCTTGAGGATGCCGTGCAGCGTTGCCTTCCCGCCCGTCTGCTGCGCCCTGAGCTGCACCTGCTCGATCATCTCTGGCGTGATGTCTGCGCAGGCGCGAGCGGCCCCGAACGCCCCGGGCGTCTTCATGAAAGTGTAGGTGCTGTTGGTCGTCTCCGTAACTCTCCAGAAGGAGTGCAGCAGGTGCACGTCGTACCAGGAGCTCCGGAAACGATTGATGGGCCTGGCCACGTACTTCTCCTCGTCGCCGGGAACGTCATACTCCATCTCCTCCCGCGTGAGAAGATTCTGGATGAAGTGCGCCACGCTGAAGCAGAGCCGACCCTCCTTATCGCCGAGGCCCCATGCGCAGTCCCCGTAGCAGAAGTCCGTGGGCCTGGCAATCGACCAGTACTTCGGGTCCCACCAGGTCTCCGCCTTCTTCGAAGTGGGCACCACAAGCCTCGCCTTTCGCTGGCCGTCTGGGCCGGGCGGTTCCTGCAAGGAGCGCGGGTCGTCCTCGGCGGGAGTCCCCGCGACTCCTGCAGGTCGCGCCAGGTCGCCCGCGTCCTCTCCCGCCTGGCAGTTGTTCGTCTCCAGCCTCTGGACGCGCCAGTGCAGCTTCGCCACGTCTTCCCCCGGGGAGATCTTCCGACAGCGCGCGTGGAACTCCTTGCAGAGATCCCGCAGGCGGTGACGCCCGATCTCGTCCAGCTGCAGCGCCCCATCCTCGCCTCTCTCGTTCTCGAGCCGGGACATCAGCTCGTTGGCCACCACGCGCCCCGCCTGGCTCTCCATCCTCTCGAGCATGCCCTGCAGTGCCGGCAGGGACGTGATCTCGCTGACGTCGTCCATGTGGTCCTCGAGGACGGACAGCCACTTGGTCAGTTCCTGCGCGTCCCCGGCGGCCGCGCCCATGTCGGCCTGCGCGCCAGTGGTGGCCGAGGCGGGCCCTTGCGCTTGCGCAACGTCGTCCAACGCCGCGTCCGTGGGGACATACTTCGCGCAGGCCAGCATGCAGTCGGGCACGCCAGGCTGCGGGGGGAACCTGTCCACGAGGTCCGATCGGTACTGCACGCCCGGGTCATTGTACACGTAGTTGTGCTGCTTCAACAACCGCGCCTGTGCGTCGTACTCCGCCTTGTCGACGTGCAACGCCACCTCCTCCCTCATGGCTCTCAAGGCTCTCTCCTGCTTCTGCTCCTCTGTCAGGGGGGCGCCGTCCTCGTCGTCGTCGGCGCCCGCGAAGACGGCCACGAACGTGTCCCTGAGCATGTCGGGCTCCGGCGGGAAGCTCCGCATCGCGTGGTCCACGTTCCCGTTCCCGAACACGATGGCGGTGCCCTGCATGGCGTACTGCAGGAACTTCTGCCTCCATGACTCCTGCTCCTGCCGGACGGCCTTGTCGGCGCCCTTGCTGGACAGGTAGATCTTCGTGGACACGACGCGGCCCAGCGCGAGCAGCATCTGGTGCGCGAGAGCGGCCTTCCTGAGCAGCGGGTGGTGGCGGCCCAGCCAGAGGTCGTTCACCAGGGCCATGAGCGGCACCTTGGGATGATCAGACCACAGGTCTCTCCTGCAAGCTTCGCACACTCTCACGGGCGCTTCCCCTGTGAGCGCCTCTGGCGGCACGCGCCTCTTGTGCAGGAGTATCTTCGTGCACGTCGGCGAGCCCTCGCTGTCTTCGTGTGGGAAGTCCACGGCAGACGACATCAGCTCCTCGCGCGGTATGAGGGGCCATCGTTGATGATACCACTCGGCCGACAGGCATTCCGCGAACAGGGCCCGGTTTTTTATGCCGCACTTGTCCCCGACCAGGAACTCCGAGTGGAGGTTCTCGGACCACTGCTGCATGGCGCAGCAGACGCAGGCCCGGAAAGCACGGGGCTCCCTCGCCTGGCACGCGGCCTGATCGCGGGCCGCCGACTCCGCCGCGCCGGCCGCCTGCCGGGAGATCTCCTCCGCGAAGCCCCCCTGCCCGATCCTGCCAGCGATGCTGCCGACGATCGCCGCGTGGAGCAGCTGCTTCTGCACCTCCGGTTCGGGCTTCGGGACGAACGTCTCGTCCACGGGTTCCACGGTGGCGCAGCACTGGGAGACGTGGAACCTGGCAACAACCTGCGGCGCGACCAGGAAGTGCAGCCCGACCCCCAGATCTAGGCGGTCACCCCGCCCGGAGAAACTCGATGCCCTTAACGCAGACGCTGGGAGCGCCAGCGCTAAGAGACTATCCCAGGGGGAAAGGGCGGGGGGGTCGAGCGCAATTCCCCGCCGCTCGCTCGCCTGGCGCTCCTCGGTCGGCGACGGCTGGTAGGGCTCCAGTTCGCACCGCGCCACGTACTGCGCCTGGTACCACCGCTGCCCTCCGTGGACTCTGCCCTGGTGCGCCTTGAACGCCTCCCTGTTGGGGAACTCGGCCTCGCACAAGCGGCAGGCATACTGCAGGGCAGGCGCGGGGCACTGGAACCACTCGGAGCGATCCCGAAGGCGGGCAGGCATGGCGGCGTGCCGGGGCGGCCCACGGTTGCAGGGTCTGCGCTGCCACGCCTCCGCCAGGTGCGCCCTCAGCGGGTTGCCGTCGCCCAGCGCGGCCGACGCGTCGCCCGCCGCCAGCCTGACTGTGGCCGCCACGGAGTGGGCGCCGTGGGCGGAGTCCAGGCGCTCGTCCAGGAGCTCCGCGACGTGGTGCCCGTGCCACTCCCCGCTCTCCAGTCGGCGCTTGGCGTCGGATATTTCGTTCTCCGTGACCCCGAGCGCTTCCCGCAACCTGCCGGCCAACTTGTCGGACCGATCGGGCGCTTGCAGGAACGTCGCCCATCGGCGGGTGCAGTCGTCGCCCGCGTAGACGAAGAAATCAGGGTAGTGCTCCAGCAGGTCATCGGCAGCGGCCAGCGGCTCCATCAGGTGCAAGAGCAAGAAGAGGTCTCCGCACTTCCGGCGCTCCTCGCTGGCGGTCTGCAAGCTCTTCGCCTCCCTGCTGCTGCGCAGGACAGGCGCGGTGGCGTTGTTCTGGGCGTCCTGCCTGGACCCGTCGGCGTTGTCGCCCTTGCCCTTCGGCTTCCGCCCCTGCCGGAGCACATCCTCCGGCTTGCAACCGCGCTGCTTATCCTTCTGCAGCCACCCAGCGCGGCTCTGCTGCCTCCCGTCGCGGCTCTGCTGCCTCCCGTCGCGGCTCTGCTGCCTCCCATCGCGGATCTGCTGCCTCCCGTCGCGGCTCTGCTTCCCTCGGAGGCGGAGCCGCTTCTTGGCAGGGGCGCCGCTCCTCGCGGACGCCGCGGGCCGCTTCCGTGCGCCCGAATGGCTGGCGTCGCCGGCCCCGCCCTCCTCCTCGGGCGCTCCGTCGGGGCCGAAGCTGTCCTCGCCGTCCGCGTCGACGTCGCCGCCGTCGCCCAGGCCCTCCGCGTCGTCGACGACTGGCCCGGGCGGCCACGGGCAGGCATCGGCGCCGGCCGCCCTGGAGTCCATCCTCTCGAGGAAGATCACGAATGGCATCTTGTGCTCGGTGCCCGGCGCCCACCGGACCACGTGCGGCCGATCGCCCAGGTCGTCCGCAGTGTACCAGCTCCCGTCCTCCTCGAAGTGGGCCACGAAGTGGCCCTGCGGGTCACTCAGGACGTGGGATGGGATGACGTCCGATCCCTCGGGCAGGATGTACTGCACGTAGGCGCGCAGGCGGTATGCGACGTCTTCCCCCCCCGCCCTCAGAACCACCTCTGGGAGCTCGCTCCAGTAGGGCGCGATGTCGCAGCTGCCGAGGAAGAGCGCCGTGCCGTCGCCTCGCTCCCATCTCTGGGGCACGTGGACCGCCAGCAGCTCGGGCTTCGATCGCAGTCGCCCGCCCATGGAGACGCCGCGGCGGAGCAGCTCTCGCGCGTCCAATCTCTGGGCGCCCCCGTCGAGGAAGAAGTCCTGCGGCGACAAGGCGTCGTCGCCGTCGTCTGCCCCGTCCACGAAAGCTGGCAGCCTCAGCATGACCTCCTCGCCGCATCCTGTCTGGAAGAGACGGCGGAGACCCTGCGTGTCATCCACGACGAACGACAGCGCCTCGCTCGCGTCCCCGTGCCTCCCCAGCCTGAAGTCCACCCAGTGCATCTCGAGGAACGCGTCCAAGAAGGCGTGCGGGGACCAGCGGTCCACGCGGGCGGGCGCGGGCGCCGCGCCACCGACGTCCTCCGCGGGCAGCGGCGCTCCGCGCACGCAGGCGCTTGCCAGGGCGCGCAGCTCCTCGAGAGAGGGGGGGGTGAAACCCCTGACGTGTGCCCCCCGTCCCCCGCGCCGCGGCGCACGATTCGCCTTCCTCGCCTTGCGGGGGGAAAAGCTCCAGCGTCTGCCAGGGGCCGTGCCTGAACGAAGACAATGACGAGCTTTCCCCTGCCGCCCCCCTCATAAGGCTGTCTTGGAGAGCACCTTGGACCGTCTTGGATGCCAGATAGAGCCATCCTGGCCGTCTTGGAGGCCATCCTGGCCGTCTTGGAGTCCATCTTGGCCGTCGTGGAGTCCATCCTGGGCTATCTTAGACGTCTTGGAGGCCATCTTGCACCGTCTTGGGGCCCTCTTGGGGGCCTCATGGGATCATGGGACATGTCTTTAAATATCAACGCGTGTGCGCGCGGCATAATTTGACAGGGATGACGGGGGGGTCGATACTGGTTTGGCTGGGATGGTGCTCTCCCTCCTCCATTTCCCTTATGCCTGGCTCCTCCCGTACCTTCTTCTCTTCCCTCCCATGCGTCCTGACCTTTCCCTCCACCCACCTCTCTCCTCTCACCCCTCTCCTCTCTCCCCCATTCGAGATCCTCCGTCCTGCGCCATTTCCTTCTCCCCCCGCCTGCCCTCTTCTCCGCTCCTCCTCCTCCTCCTCCTCCTCCTCCTCCTCCTCCTGGCGACGACGACAACGACGACGACGACGACGACGACGACGACGACGACGACGAAGACGAAGACGACGACGACTTATTATTATTCGTCGACATCTGGGATGAGTGCTCTGGCCTGAATGGATGGCTGGAGTCTTGCAAAAAGAAGGCTTCGATGGCTATACCACCGCTTCGAAAAGAATCCCGTCGCACGGAGGGCTGGACTCCGTAACTCGCAAAGCGCGTGCACAGGCAGGTGCTCGAGCGGCGTGGCTGGCTGTGCGGGGTGAGGGGTGGCGGCACTACAATGAAGAGGGATTCAAGCGCAGACTCCGTGACAGCCATCACGGTGCCCGATCTCTGCACACAACTATACGATGAATGGTATCTGTCAGAAGATAACTATAGTCCGAAGTCTGCTGCCGCCGCTTCGTCGGCCGAGAAGTCATGCTCTGGGGCGACCTCAGCTCCTAGACTCGGCGATTCAACCTCCCGATCGCCGTGTGAGTCTGTGGGTGCGGCCGACGGGCGAGCGTATCTAATGCTGATGACTGGTGTCTGGACCGGTGCCGCGCGAGGCGGCGAGCTTGAACGAACAAAGAGGATGGGAAGAGAGAGGTCACGCGCGGCGGGGCCACGCGACAGAGGTAGCACAGGCGCCTTCAGTTCGTGATCATCAGGAGCTCCGTCTACTGAGCGAGCGCGTCGAGCCACGTCGACAGCTCCTCCTCGAGCCAGCCCGCTGGCATGACCCCCGTATGGATGATGGCCGAGCCCTCGCAGCGGAGGGCGGCGAGGATGTGTGGGCGCATGTCCCACTCGTTCATGGCGAAGAGGATCTTCGTGTTCTTCGTCTCGTGGCATTTCTCGAGCCTGATGAAAGTGACCGCGTCCTCGATCGTGGTCTTCGCTATCGTGGTGTCGTCCTCGGGCGCCCCGTTGGCCCTGATGAGCCATGCCTCCAGGATCTTCTTGCACGCGCCGCCGATGTCGCAGCCGATCAGGGCCTCGACTACTGCCAGGACGAGAGAGGCAGTCGGCGATCCGAGAGTCTTGAGCGCTGCCTGCTGCGCCTCGTCGCCCTCGCGGAGCGTCTGGACCTCCTGCTTGAAGGTCTCGAGCTCGTCCGAGATGGCCACGATCAGCGGGTGTGTCGTCGCGAGCGTCACTGTGTCCACTGCGGTGGCGAGGGCGAGGCGGGCGCGGTGGCTGGTTTGCAATACTAGCTTTCCCATGACTGTCATCATCTGCTGCAGGTTCTTGTCCTTGCTGGTCCACGTCTTCTCTGTGTGGGCCCCGCGGCGGCGGCGCTTGCCTCCGCGTCGCCGACGGGCGGGGGCTGCGGCAGCTCCCTGGGGCGGTGTTGCTGCTGCCGATGCCGCCGATGCCGATGCTGGTGCTGCCAGGGTGGGCTTCTTGTAGGGCGGCGCGCCGTGCGACTCGTTGTTCCCACCATTCAATGAGGGGCGCGATGAGCCCCCCAGCCGCCAGGCCGCCCTGCGTGGGGGGGCGCCGTTGCCGCTCTTCATCTGGACGTCGGGCCTGTCGGACGGGCGAGCGGCTGCTGCAGCTCCTTCCCCTCCCATCTGTGCGCCAGGTCGGGGTTGCTGTGGCTCCTTGGCCTGGTAACTGTGGCGCGGCGGCCGCTGGCGAGGGGAGGGCCGACGCAGTCGGCGGTGCACCTGCTTCGTGTAGGTGAGGTGGCGCAGTCCCAGGCTGCGGGGTCCGCCGAGTGCCTCTCGGCTTGGCGGCTGGTGCAGCACGTGGAAGGAGAAGACGGTGGGAGGCGCGCTGCAGCGCACGTCTGGCCTCCGCGGTGTCCGCGAAGCCGGTGCCGCGGTCGACCGCGGCAGGGGGGGCCACGGGCGCGCCGCGCGCCCTCGGGGTCGGCGCGGTCGGTGCAATCAGCCTGGTCCATTTCGAGCCAGATGGAGACGGAGGAACGTGTTCACAGAGATGTTTCCGTAGGGCCTCGGCACTCTGGAAGGGCTCGCAGCACCCAGGATTACTCGAGACGTTCGAATAGGGACACAATCGCATAGTGGTAGGGACATACTCATAACAATGACGAGTTTGATCGGGTAAGCAACGTCCCTGCAACCAAGATCTTCGATGGTGTCTCACTGTGTGGTCGACGTTCGAGAACACAGTGTTGCACATCAGGCACCTGTTGTCAACGGTGACGGTCGTGAGGATCGGGGGCCAGCCGTGTCCTGGGGCTTTCGATTGGACCTGATGGATCACAAGTCTGTGAAGGGTCGGAAATCGTTTATTACAGTCCCCAAGAGTGCACACGAGATCAGTTTCCTCGTCGTCCGAGTCCTCGCCGATCGGGGTCGGCAGGGGGAGGTGGTTGGTGATGGGTAGAGCTTCAGGAGGGGCCCATTCCTTGGAGACGAAGGTGGTGCGAATCTCTCTCATGTCGTACTGTCGGAACCGCTCGCTGATCGACGGGTCGTGAAATAATCTCGGGATGATCCTCGGTTTCCAGATGTCGCTCAGATCAGAAGCCATGGGGTGTCGTAACAAGATCTCGAGATCCTCGCCGAATTGTCGGGCCCATGGATGCACATCGGGATGATCGCGGAGCAGTCCAGTCTCGGTGAGGGTCGACTTCGCGTCGGAATCGGGCCCAGCCTGCTCGAACCTGCATTGGCCGAACATGGCCGAGAGAAAGTGTGCGTGGTGAGCGGGTTCGGCTACGATGGATTGCCACCAGCACAGCCGACGTATTAGCAGCTCTATGGCGGTCGGGACAATGTCCAATTCCTCGAATACCTGCTTATTCGTGAGAGAGGAGTGGACCTCGTCGTCAGAAACCTCATGGGCCTTGCCTAGGAGGAGGGCGCGCATCTTCTTCGCCAGAGACCTATCCAGGCGCCTAGACTCACTCTCCAGGAGAACGTAGGATTCTAACCCCGACCACATTCTGCCCGCTACGTTGGAAATAAACGACATGCGTTTACACCGAAGGGGTCCAGGGGCAGTCCAGAATCTGCTGAGGTTACACCAGCCAATGTTCCCAGATCGTATTCGTTCAGTGATTTCCTTTGTGTTGGACCCGTTGATATTAATATAGCCTCCAAGGTGGATCAGGTTAACGACGGGGGTGCCAAGGATCTCCTTTTCCACTAACTTCGTTTCCTGTGCACGTCGTAGTCGGACTAATGTATCTTGTTTATCAACATTTTGGGCGTATCCATCCTTCTGGAGCTCTATGTTCAGGATGTCGTTGTCGATTTTATCCAAGAGGAGGGCATTCTGGGGGGACCCCTCGGGGACGATGAAAATCTTGATCAAATCATCGATGAACCCCCCGCGACTCAAGTCCTGGACGGTGTTCGTAATCGGGCAAGGGGAGTCGAAGAGGGGGCCCGTGATGTCAGTGAGGGTGGCGTGCCAACGCTCGACGGGTAGATAGAAGGCGCCCATAAACAGCTCTGGCTCGTTAGAGTCGCCCATCCTCCCGCCCTCCCCAGGTCGCACACAAAGGGGCCCGTCCGCCGCGTCGATGCGAATCACCGCCTCCGTGCGGTGCAGCTCCAACATGCGAGTAAAATGCCTCGACGGTTGCCGAGCAGCCTGCGCATCGATGAGTCGTGAGGTAAGACCAGTTCCAAAAGCATTTCGCATATCGTAAGACTTTATCATATAAGCAAAACCTTGGTGTCGAAGTTTCCACTCGAGTATTTTTACGATGGACATGAGGGCCTCCCGTCGACGTTTGCGAATACCTCCGTATGCCCAGTCGGGTGGGGAAAACTCCGAACCATACACGGTCAAGCCGATTCTGAGATAGAAGCGCCACCAGGGGCAGAAACAATGGATCGTTCTCAAGCACGCAGTAATATCTTTCACGGGATCTCCTGTCGGTCGCTTGCCCTTCTTGGGGATGAGAATACCCTGACTCGTGACGGCCTGTCTCGGGAGACGTTTCGAGCATCGGACGTGGGCCAGCAACGAGACCAGGACCGCGGGACCCTCGGCAATCACATCATTTCCAAGGGCACCTAGCTTCCGTCGATCGGGTCGTCGAACCTTGATGCGGGTGCCTTCCCATCCTAAGCCCGCGTGATCCGGAGGCCCAGTGAGGGTGTAGTCAGCATCTTCGTGTCCGATACCGATCCGTGGAATTCCTGGCTTGGTGAGGGTCAGAGGGCTAAACATCATCATCGTGAGCTCCACGGGCCAACTCCAAGGGGGACTGTACCTACGGTGTCGTTGTGTCCAGATTCGTTCCCCCATGAATCGGAGATCGTCGAAGGCCTGCGTGTAATCCTCGGGGGACGGGCTCGCTCGCGTCGTGCCGATGGGGTGGACGTCGGAGGGCGGGGTGCTGAGGAGGGTCTCGACGGCTTGACTGTCCCGTGTCCACATGCTGTCGTGAACCTCTGCTGCTGACAATCCTCCTGCTACACCCGGAAGAGAGACCGCTGCCAGGAAGGAGGAGGCGAGGGGACGTGCTGCAGGGAGTGCCAGATAAGAACGTTTGCGCGCGCCCATGCGTGTGCCTGCTCGTAGTCGTGCCAATTCTGCTACGCGTGCTGTCTCTCGCCGTGCCCATGCTTCCCGAAGCTCGGATTCAATGGAGTACTTCCACCAATCATCTTTCCACCGCTGGAATTTCTTAAGGTTGCGAGTGACCGTTTTGATCTCAGTCGAATGCACATGTGCACCCTGCTCACGTAGTCGCGCACGTTCCCGAAGAAGTGTGAGGCGCTCCGCTCGTGCATCAACAACCCACTGTGGCGTACTATAGTGCTTAGAGTAGTACTTCTGAGCCGTGGAGCGTATAATATGGCTGACTACCGCCGCGTGTCTCGTGGGGTCATCGTCCTCAATGACAATGTCTAGGATCGGGGAGGCTCGTTGTAGTCCCTCGTGCAGGTCTCGAAGGAATTCGCGCCTGGCGTGCCCAATCTGAAGACCTGCTGCAATCAATCCCCAATCCCAGACACAGTACCCAATGTCTTGAGGGGAGGGAGGGGCGGTAACCGTAACGTCCATGGCCATGGGTATGTGATCTAGCATATGAGGGAGTACCTGCAGACGTCGGTGGCTACGCCAACACATGGCCATGCGGGTGATGTGACATAACAATGGCTGAGGTACAATAAAATAATCGATCCTAGATCGTGCACCGCCGTTGCCAAAGAAAGAGTAACCTAGATCATAATAACTGTTGGCCGCTGCCAACTCATGTTCAAGAAGCCGTCGGTGAACGAGTTGGCCGATGTCACTTTCAGCTGCCGCCTGGAACGGACCTACTGCGTCGTCGTCCGTGACTGTCCCGTTCTGCCGTCCAAGGTTCATGTTAAGGTCTCCAAAGAATATGGGGATGACCCTGGACGGTGTGCTGGTGATTTCTTCGAGGACCCAGTTTAGCAAACGCTGGTAGGCCACACGCCATTGACGAAGTTGTGCAGCTGCTGATGGACGTGGCTGGAAATACGCAACAATAAACCTAGCTCTGAAGGATCCCTGAAAGATGTCCACCGATCCCCCTCTGCCCTGGAGCTCAGAGGGGGGGGTGTTTACTCTGATGACGTCTTTGGCCCGAAATCTGCTGTGCGAGAGTCCGATCGAACATCCCGCCGACGCGTTGGTCATGCTCCCCCTGGCCCACCCGAAATTGATGAAGAGGTGGCGGTGGACTTTATCGTACATGTGGGGTGACCCCGGCCTGGAGCGGAGCTTGGTCCCCGCCAAGAGGAGCACGTCTGAGTTCCTAAACGCGTCGGAGACCTCCACGACCCGGCCCGTGCCCAGGAGGGTGAACGGGTTCCATCCCACGACCCGCAGCTTGTGTGCCATGGCGCGCGCGCGTGCACATGTACAGGTGCGTGTGTGGGAGGGGCCGAGGGACGGGAGGGGAAAGAGGCCTGCCCGTGCCCCCCACGCCCCGCCACAGCCCCCGCCGCGAGCGCCGCGCACAGCGCCGCGGGCTCGTGGGGGCCCCCCGCAGCGGCCTCGCGGGGCGCCGAGGGGAGGGGTTGGGAGCCGCCCGCGCCGACGCAGCTCGAAGCTTCGTGGCGGCTTGACGACGACGACGAGGATGAGGACGACGACGACGAGATTTCACCCAGCGTCCTGCACAAGCAGCGGCTCGCCCTCGCATTCCGCCCCCAGGAGCGCGGCGCGCGCGGCGGGGCAGTGGAGCAGGCACTGCAGGGGCGCGTTGAGGTAGCAGGTGTTGAACAAGTTCGAGAAGCCCGGGTACGGGTGCTGGCCGCCGCGAGATCGATGCAGGGCAGGCTGCCTCCAACGATCCTCGTCGTGGACGTCGTTCCCCTCGCACCAATGCTGGTGCAGCATTAGCAGCGCCTGCTCTGCGCCCTCGGCTCGCTCATCCCCCAGCTTTGACTCCCGCTCGGTCTGCAGCAGCGCGTCGATGCGCTGCTTCAGGATCAGGGCCGCTGGCTGCAGCCTGGTCGACCGCTCCCACCTCCGCCACCTCTGCGCCAAGTCATTCTCGAGGCCCTTCCTGGACTTGGAGCGCCGCGGAAAGCGGCCCCGGTCACTGTGCCAGGCCAGAACGTCGTGGAACGTCGCGGCCGCGACGTCCCGTCGGCCTCCCGCCGTCCGAGGAGTCGGGCCCCGGCTGCGCGCCGCCCTGGGAGTCTGTTGGGGGCGCCTGCCCGCGGCCGAGGCGCCTGGCGTCTGAGGGCCCCCAGTCTTCGGGCCCGATGCTGGAGTGCCGGCGGCGGCTCTCGGCGCTGGGGAAGGGCGAGGCGACGGTCCTCGTTTCCCAGTCATTCGGCGCCGAGGGGGCGCCTCCAGCTGGCGCCGTGGCGTTTGGGGGCCCTCCCCTGGGGCCTGCGCGTGCTCTGCTTGCAAGCGGCGGAGCTCCGCACGCTGCCCCGTCTCCGGCATCCTCGCGAGGCGAGCCTTATCCGCTGTGGCCGCGGCCAGGTCGTCGCGGTCAGGACCGTATATGCAGGGCTCGCCTGCGGCCCGCAGCCGCACGCGGAAGGTCACTGCCCCACCCCGCTCCCTCTTGACCACATTGATCCGGCATCTCGCCCCGCTGCCTTTCGGCGGCATCCGCGCGGGGCCCCGATGGCGCGCGGCGATGGCCCGCTCGTGCGAGCCAGAGTCCCCCCGACTCGGGAAGGTCGTCCCGCGCGGGGAGTCCCGTCCACGAGCGGGGGTCGTCCGTCGAAGATGGCGGTGGGCGCGCGCCGGAACGCGCGGCGGCGCCTGCTCGGGCCTCCATGTTTACGGACACGGAAGGGGGGGGGGGAGTTTGCCGGAAATCTCAGGGCTCGACCCAGACCCCGCTTCTTTCAAAAACAACAAACTTTTGACACAAAGTTAGCGGAAGGGGTCTCCTCTCTCCCAGGTGCCGTCGTGCACTGCTCTTGCCTGACTGTCCTGCGGTGGCCCGAGCCCTGACCGCCGTCGTTTCGTGCCTCTTTCCTTCCCTAATCGCTCTCCCCTTTTTTCTCCTCGCGACCCGACGGCGGCGGCCCCAGGCAGAATAACGCGCGGAGTCCCCGCGACGCGCGCCGGGCGTCCCGCAGGAGTTCCGGCGACGCGCGCAGGTCGGCCGCGCTTCGAGGCAAACGTCTACGCAATCGGCATGCGGCTAACCTCACGCGGGCGGCCGCGCTGCCCATCCTGGCGAAACTCCAGGGACACGCGGAGGTCGCTCACCACGGGTGGTTGAAAAGGTCGGCAGCTAGACACAGCAAGGCGGCAGGCAGACGCACGGGCCCCCCTGCGTCGCGGACAGAGGGGTAGAAAAAAACTGCGTGGGCGAAAACAGGTGAGGAGTCCCCCCGACGCGTGACGGTCGCCCACCCGAATGGGATCCCATCAACGCGCGAGGGTCGTCCTGGGCGTCGACTGACGCCGCGCGGCGCGCGCGCCTCACCGCAGGGCCGCGGCGCGAGGAGAAAGGGCGGGGAGGCTTCCCGGCGAGGCCCTACTCCGGCGCCGGCCGCCAGCGACGCGCGGGAGATGCGATCTCGGGCGGCTGGCCCGCGCCGGCCAAGTAGCTCTCGACCTCCACGAGGCTGTTGAAGCCTCTGCTGATGGCCGAGGGGTCGTCCGCGCCTGCACCGTCCGTGACGAGCGCCTTGAGGTGCGCCACGGCCGTGACCACGCTCGGGCCCAGCCCGCCATGCCGCGCCGCCGGGCGCAGGACCACGTAGCACTTGTTGTGCGGCAGGGGCATCGGGACGTCCACCAGATCAGAGCGGTCGCCCACTGTGCGCCCGGCATCCACGCTCCCGAGCCAGAAAGCCCTACGGAGGCGATCTTCGGCCGACGGCAACGGCGGGGCCATGTGGAGGCACTGGGCGCGCCAGCGGATGCGCTCGGGCAGCTCCTCGAACGGCGGCGGCCCCGGTGGCTCCGCGGCGCCCGGCCCGACCACTGCGCTCGGCCCCGCGGCGGCGGAGGGCGGCCGCGCCGCCTCGCCTCCGCCGTGCCCCGCGCCCTGCTGAGGCGTCGCACTGCGCAAGGGCACCCGCAACAAGACCGGGGGCCCGTCCTCGTAGACCACCTCCGGGTTAAGGCCAAAGCCGGTCAAAACTGAAACGATGTCCTCGAGGTGCGGGGACGGCATGGCGCCTGGTCTTCCGCGGGTTGTCGGCGGGGCGCGCCGGCTGAGGCACTCGCGGGCTCGAGCAAGACGAAAGCCTCGACAGGGGCCCCGCGAGGCCTGCTCCACGACGGCCCCACGGGCGCCTGCAGATTAATGCCGGTTTGACCGATGTGCTCCAGGATGGCCCCAAGAGGCCAGCCAAGATGTCCCCAGGCAGGGAGAGCCCGAAATAGGCTCCACTGTACCTATGGATGGCAAGGTCCGGGAGATTTCCATTGCGGCGCAATTGCCAGACCTACTCGTTTGGCGCTAACACTGTTTGCCGCTTTATCGCGTGTCCGCCCCCTGCGCCGTGATCCCCCGACCGTCTCCTAATCTCCCCTGTGCGTTGCGTCCCTGCCCGCCTCTCCCGCGGTGACCTAAACCCGGGCGCCGCCGTGTCGTGTCCGCCTCCTTCCTCCCTTCCTTCTTCTCTCCGCACCTCCAGAGATCCCGCTCCAAGCCGGGCGCGCATTTGTGGTTGCCTTGCAGGGCGAGGGCGAGCGGCTGCGGGCGCGCGGCAAGGGCGCTCCGATCGGACTGTGGAGTCCCGTCGACGCGTGTCAGTCGCCCCCGGAGGAGGGTCCTGGCAACGCGCGAGGGTCGTCCACAATACTTAAACTCTTGCTGCAGGACGCTGCCCTACCAGTGGAAGTCCAGGACACGCGGCGCATCGGCCGCTACTCTGGGCCACGAAGCTAGATAATGCCCTGCCGACTGCAAAATACGCCCTCCAAGGGGGGGAAATATGTCTTGGCCAAGGCAGCGGGCAGCGCGGGGTGGAACAGAGCAGCGCTCTGCGCCGCTAGCCTATGGGCACGTCGACCAGCCTGAGATCGCCCCGACGCGCGCCGCTCGCCCTCCAGGGAAGGATCGCGGCGACGCGCAGGGCTTGCCCGGGCGGCCTGCCGAGCACCCGCGCCATCCTGTCACGCCGTGGGCCCAGCGAGCGTCTTGCGGACCTTCCACAGCGGCGGGGAGGTCACGTTCGCCGCCTCGGCCGCGGTCAAGACCTTCGTCGGCGTCGCGTCGAAGCCCGCTGAGTTGGACGAGCCAGCGGCCGCCGAGTCCTCGCGGCGGCGCGCGCAAGGGGGCAAGGCCAGGGGGGCGGCCCCCTCTGAGAGCAGGGGGCTTCGTGAAAGCACTCCCGCCCTCCCGGACAACTCATTGGAAGCCTCTTGGGCCATCCAGGAAGCGCTCTGCATTCCACGAAGCTCCTCGCCTCCCTGGGCCCTGGGAGCCCCCCCCCCCCGCGCTGCCCCCTTCCGCGAGCCGCCGAGTCCTTGCACAGCTCCACCTCCCTGGCGAAGAACCTGCCGAAGGCGTCGAAGCTCTCGCCCGGCACCGGCAACATCGCGATCACCCCGATGACCTCCGTCGACCTCCACGCCAGGAGCACGTGCGCGGAGCTCCTCTTCTCGGCGCTGCCGAGGGCATGCGCCATGGAGCCGTCTCCGTCGACCTCCAGCCTGTACTTGAGCGCCTCCACCCCGGCGTCGAGGGCGCAGTTGACCTCGCGCGCCGTGCGGCCGTCTGCGCCGAGGCCGCCGGCGTCGTCTGCGAACGTCACGAGGGCGCGGAACGACTCGTACGCGTTGCCGTCGGCCTCCGTCATGCCGATGCCCTCCGAGTATACCGTCTGCGCCAGGCGGAAAGGCGGGCACGCGCCCGCGGACTGGCCCACCTGCACGACGGGCTTCAACGGGTGCTTGACGCCGGCGGTCGAGAACGTCGGGGTGAGCAGCTGGACCGTCGCCTCCATGGCCTCCTTGTAGCCGTCCGCCGCCACCGTGATGCGCGCGGTGAAGGGCACCGCGGCGACGGAGCTGGCCAGGCGCTCCGCCACCTCCTCGGAGCTGAAATGCTCCGGCGCCTTCTCGGCGTCGCCGGAGACGTCCCCGTAGACATCCACGACGGACTCGAGCGCCTTGAAGCAGACGGCCTGGACCTGGCCCGAGGCGTCTCGGAGACCGAGCCTGGCGCGCCACAGGTGGACACGCTCCGCAGCGGGGCACTGGCACGGCATCGTGCCCTCCTCGCGCCAGGCCTTCAGGCACGTGCCGCACCCGGGGTACGTCAGCTGCGAGCCGAACTCCAGGAACACGCTAGGCACCTCGAAGACGCGGTCGAGATCGCGGATCACCTTCGAGGCCATCAGACCCTCCAGCACCGACAAGGACATCGACGTCCCCTTGGCGGTGGCGTAATCCTTCCTCTCCCTGGACAGGCGCGCAGACCAGATCTTCGCGCCGGACAGGTCGGCCGGCGTGCTCGCGAGGGTGCCCGGAAGCGGCTCGGGGCAGCTCAGCACCCTCGTGCGCGCCGTGGCGCGGAGCTCCACCTGCGTCTTCGGGTCCTCGCCGGCCCTGGGCCACTGCTTCGCCACGCCCCAGAGGAACGTGAGGTCGCCCTTGCCAAGGCTCTTCAACATCGAGGCCGTCTCCCGCCAGAAATTCACACGAATCAAGTCCTCCGAGACGCGGAGCGCCAGGTGCGCCACCGGCACGTCGGTGTCGCCGTCGGGCGTCTCCACCTTCTGCACCTCGCCCGCCTCCACCACGCGGCCAGCGAGGCAGACCGGAGACCGGGGCGGCAGCAGCGGCAGCGACGAGATGGGCGTGACGGGGTGGTACCTCAAGAACTCTGGCTTGTCCTCGATGCGCTCCATGGTCGTGTCGCTCTGCGCCTTCAGAAACATGGGCGAGCGCGAGGTGCAGTGGAAGCGGGTCTTGTCGGTGTGCGCCACGACGAGGCCGCGCCTGATGCGCACCGTGTCCCCGACGCCCGCGCTGCCCTGCAGGCGCGCGCGCACGTTGGACTCCCACGCCTGGAACATTATGATGTCCGCCGGGCTCTTCCCCCCGCACAGCGTGATCTCCAGGACGGCGTCGGAGCGGGCGCCCTTGCCCTTGCCCTTGCCCTTGCCCTTGCTTTTGCTGGCGCCGGTGGCGGCGACCTGGCTCGGGGCACCCTCGCCGGTCGCAGCGGCCGAGCCCAGGGAGCGGGACTCCACGAGGAGAATGCGCCCCACGACCGCGTCGTTGCGCAGCGGCCCGGGCGCGCGGATGTCGCGCGGGAGCTTGTCGCGGCCCTGCTGCTGCTGCGACTGCGAGCTGGTCGCCATGAGATACTGCGGGGAAGAACTCAGCACCTCGCTGGAAGGGCCGGAAGTGCCGCCACAAACTCGAACCCGAACAAGGCTTGAGCCACGACGGCGTCGACGCTTCCTCCTCCTCCTCCTCCTCCTCCCCCTTGCTCCGCGAGGCCTCCAGGAAGCCCCCATGGTACCCGATCAAGAATTACCCTCACGCATGCCCTCGTCGCCTCCCCAGGGGGCACCCGATAAGCATCCCGCGACACCCGAGTAAGGGGTCTCTGACCCGCGACCCAGGCGCCAGGCGCAGCGGCGAGGTGGACCGAACGACACTGGTATAACGTGAGCAGCACCCTTCAG